TAGTAAAACACACTCCCATCCGATGCCACCCCCCTCAGGTTCCCCACACAGCGGCCAGATGCCAGCGCCAGTCGGGACACCTGAAGCTAACTGGTCGGTGCTGGTGGGACGGGTGCAGTGAGAAAACGCCGGGCAGTCAGAGTCAAAGCCTTTCCAAGACCTCCGACGTTTTCTTGCCTAGCTGGTTTCGACTGAAAATTGTTAGTCACTGGGTTCAATCATCCCCAAAAACAGCTGAACAAGGATGCAGGGTAGCGCCGATGGTCCAAAAGCCCGATGTTCTGGGTGTCCAATTGGAAAAAAGCGCGTGCAGCACGCGCAAGCCTGTGCTGATCATCAACCTGTTTGGAAATAATCCACCAAAATGATCTGCGGATATCTGTGGCAAGTTGGCAACCTTCTCTCCTTACAGCTTGACTCCTAGGGGGTCACTTATGGTCACTTGACCCATCTTTACTAAAAATTACTACCAGCACCTTCATGTCGGGGTCACCTGGCTGGAAGCCCCTACACTAAGGGACCTCCAGCCAGGACACCCCTTGAAGGTCCAGGTATAAATTAAAGAACATGTTCCCACTTGGCCGAAGCCAAATCGATCGAAGGCGCTGCCAACGCCACACCACCCGCCCCCTCGTGCGTGTTGAGAGGCCTGGGTCGTGGTCAAGGCACGGCAATGTTCGCCTCGCGTTGGCGCACGATCCGTCCGAGGTGGGATGGATCTAGGGAGGGCTGGACGTCCTAGTGCAGCTTGGGGCTTCAAGATCTACAGAGAAGTCATTGATTCCTGCAACATGTTGCCAAGCACGGTCAGACAGGTCAGATGCGAATGTTCCGGAAAGCCAAGGAAATCCACCCGTCCAGCCAACAGCTACATGGCCCGCTTTCCGGGCCACGCCTGCCCTGGGACCAGTGACAAAGGTGGCACCTTACAGCTGGCCGCAGGCGTGGAGTCCATGGAGGGTGAGCTGGGAGGCCCATCGGCTCTGAGCAGCTCTTTTTGAGGTGCCCGGAGGAGGAATGGAGGAAGAACATGGAAGAACAAGGATACTGTAGGAAGTCTTGGCTGTATGGTGGATGATGATGGTTAGGTTGCACTTGGCTCTTTGTGTCTTACCTTGGGTTGCAAACCTTGCCCCCCCAACGCCCCGTCATCTTTTACCAAGTGTTACTGTACACTCGACGAAGTCCACAGGCTCGAATTCAGCGAAAAGAAGAAAAACCACGTCCCGCCCCAAAACGGGAATGACTTGGACTTCGCCGCCCAAGGCGTCGGAAAACATGATACAAACGGGCCAAACTTGTTTGAATTGGGGATGTTGCTTGCTCCCGTATGCCAACCCTTTGAGGCTTCAGCTTCAGGGCATTCACAATGGACGTCGCCCTGAGAAACATAAAGAAGAGACACCCACTTCGATGACCTTTCGCCTGGAAGAGGCTCGGCACAGTGAACCCCCCCCCGGCTCCCTCCCCAAACTGCAAACGTCATCCAATTCCACGGTCCAACTCGGCGCACCTTAGGACCATGGTCCAACTCTGAAGCGATGATCCTCGAAATTCAGGAGGTTTAAAGGTCCCCTCCTGAGGTCACTGAGGTGACTCCACGTCGACTGGCTTGGCAGGTCACTTCCAAGGACTGCGCTGGCCAGGTTGGCCACGTCCTCGTTCTGAGCATTCACCGTCGCCATGGCCGCCAACGCCTGCGATGTTCGCCAGGCCAAAAACGGCCGAAAAGCTCCGTTTGAACGGCCCTCTGCGGAACATCTGAAAATTGGGCACTAGTCACTAGTCTCAATGACATACACTGGCAAGTGGTGAGCAATGGAAAACAACCTGGTTGAATGGGATTCACGTAGGTCTGGCAAACAGTGCCTCGACGCAATCTCGCTTCAATAACCCCACCGCCAACGTCAGGAGAAGCATCAAGTGTGTAGTGCACAAAACGATCAAATGATATGAGATGATATCAGGAATATGTGGTCGACAAAAAGTCTTGGGGAAAAAAATATCTCTACCAGGACACCCTAAGGGGCTTCGATTGATAGCCCCTTAGAGGTTAAGGGGTGTCCATCAACCACCCCTTGTGGGTCCTGGCATATGGGGACTGATATCGACTTGTATCGACTACAGGAACATCTGTAGACCACGAAAAGCACGCCCTCAGAACCCCCGAGCTCGCCTCGACCAAGGAGCCGGGCGTGAAGTCGCGGTCGCGGACGCGGACGCCAAGCCTGGATCAAAGACCCATGAAGTCGGACGAAACCACCGGACATGTGAACTGCCAAAAGAGGTTAAGTGACCTTATTAAATATTACTAAGCAGACCGAGGTGTCTAAGAGATATGAGCTGTCAACTGGAGCCATTAAACGATGAGAACCAAGAGAGGTTAAGTGACCTTATAATACTTATAGGACCTTCCTGGGGTACCTGTGGGATAGGCTAGTTCGGGTCCTTCAACCTCTGGTGTGAGAGATTGCTGTGAATCGTGGTGATTCGCTGCTCCTGCGATATTCGCTGGCGATTCTCTGAACACCTGATCTATAGTTCTAAGCCGAGGACTGGTCAATGAGCTGAAACACCTGAGGACATGGACCGTCTGGTCACTGCGGTTGATCGTGGCGTGATTGACCTGTTTTGCCGTGGATTAGCCCACCCCCTCAATTGGCAACAAAGCTAGCAGCTATTATCATGCGCCCAATGGCTCGCAAGCCACACTTGGCATCATGTTCCCGCGAATGCTTAGATGCTTGAGAAATCAAGAACTGCAACAAGCCAGGCAGGGCAGGCAGGGCAAACATGGGCAAACACTACTACAACTCTGAACATGCATCGGCTGCCCAGCTACAAACTGCATGAGCGCGGGTTCTTCTGGGCACCCAAATGTATGCACCCTTCGCGCTCAAACAAACGACGGCACCATTGGAATGGGTCTTTGAGCTGAACCTCGACTTCCGCGCGAATGTCCCACCGGTCATTTGGGCAAAGGACCGCATTGGGCAAAATGACCTCATAAAGTTGATTCAAAGGGAAGAAACTGGTTAGTCCAAGGCCAGTGTCCATCTCCATGATTTTTTTCAGGGAGCGTTGAGTTGTGTTGACTGAGAACTCCCATCTACAAACATCGTCTTGCAATATCAACCCTAAGAATCCTTGGGCTGTCCATGGCAGGGGTCGGACCCGACACCTTCGCAAAATTCCGGGGCCGAACCAAACTCTATCTCTTTGAGGGTGCGGGTTCTTAGGGTTAGAGGTCATTCGGGGCATCCCATCCATGGCCCGAGACCGAGACGCCCCGATCACCGTCCCAGCAGGTCTAACCGGGCCACTTCTTCACCGTCGCACTCTTCTGACAAGAGCTGCGTGTGAAGTACGCTCGGAGCTCCCCAAGGCGCTCGCCTCTTCGATTCCCCCCGACCGATGGCACCTCCGGATGTCTGGGGACCTCAGTGAGCGACGACGCCAAAAGGATGACGTGGCATGGCGCATGGGGCAATGTATAACCCAGAGGCTCATGGACCCTCAAACTGCTATATGTTTGACGTCCAAAACCCTGGCTGTGAGGGTCAAAACCCTATGAGGGTCCAATGAGCCTTTGGGAAATTCCCAGACACGACTAGTGGGACTGCCATAGGACTGCCGATCAGGCCAGGGGTGGTTGTTTCAGGGTCAATGGGGCGGTAAATATTCCAGTCCCATGGAGTGTCTGAGAATTGCAATGTCCCGAAGTCATGTTATGATTGGTTTTACTCTTACCGTTTTCTCAGGTGGCGGGCTCTTTGCACACCAGAACAGTGAATTTACCAAATTTCCATGCATGTGAAAGCATCTTGGGTGGAAGATCACAAGTCAAAAAATGTTATTTGGTGGTCTACATGGATCATGATCGTAAAGCATGTTCATGTTCCTTCCATTTTGCATTCATGTCCTTTCAGTTTCCTTCAAAAGGTGATATGCTCAAACCAGTCATGTGGGTATCCTCCGAAGCGCTCGCATGTTTCTCATATTGTGTTATCGTTTGTGTTGTCGTTGTGTTATCGTTTTGGAGGCCTGTGCAGGTTGCCATCTTCAGGGTTCATGAACATGTACATGTATAATCATACTATATCATACGATCGTTTTTATTCTTATCCTTTTCTGAGCCAGCTATGCATTTTCGTTCGCGTTTTAAGGCGCAGGCCAATACTAAAATCTGAGGTTATTAAGGGTTATTCATTAAGCAAGGCTTTGGAGAGAAGAAGATCGATCCAGTCCGTTCGGAGCAAGGCTTTGGCGTCCTTTCTTAGACCTTGACCCAGTGACATGATCAAGGGATTTGAGGGAACATCTGCAGCAAACCGTCGAACCGTTCTTTTTCATCCCCAATTTCCTATGGCGTTCCTGTAGTTCCATGAAACCAATTCTGGGACACTGAGCTTCACCTACCGACCAACTACCTTTGAGCCGAAGAGCCAGTACGGGGAGTTCCCAGGGTCTTCGAACGCGAAAAAGATTTGAGGTCAAGGATGGCGTCTCAAAATGAGGCGAGGAACACACAGCAAACAAGATTCAACAAGAAACGTGGGTAGCTACTCAACTGATAAAATAAATCGGGTCAGCAGGAGACTAGAGTGTGACCACTACCCAGTTGGCCAAAGAAACCAATCAGAAACGACATCATACTACATCATGCCGCAAACTGTGGTTGAAAGAATCGGTGCGATTGGACTCTTCCTTCGAAGCTTCGGAGTTCCAGCAATTGGAGCAGCTCAGACTCCCAAAAGCTCCAAATCAGAAGTTTGGACCCTATCTTTAGGAGGCTTCCCGGGTCCAGACTCCCAATTTGGAGCGTTTGGGACCGTTTGGACCGCTCGGCACCGTGGCCCGTCGCGTGGCCCTGCGTGGCGCGTCGCTCCTTTTCGACCTGTGACCGTCAGCCTCCAGCGGTCTGTGTGGTGTCAGCCTCCCGTCCTGCGGCCCTCTCGCGTCTTGATGCGGTGGCGCATCATCTCACCAAAATTCAGCCTTCACTTGCCTTAGCCGTGAATCAAAACTAGACGACGGTTGGTGAGACAAACTATAGACCTTAGTCGTCAAAGTTAGACCTACATCGTGAATCAAACTTAAGACCTTCCAAGCTTTGTCTGTCCAAGACCTTTTTAGAGGTGATTCAGGGTGCTCAATCAAGTACAATAACCACCCCTTTGTGGATCCTCAGAGGAACTTTGGACCGCTTTGGATGATTTTGGACGGCTTTGAGTCATCCTTCTGCACCGTCACATGGTCGGTATACGCGCGCTGGGCGGTCTATAACCCCTGGTGACCAAGATCGACCGAAACAACTGTAGCTTGTTGTCTGTCTGCTCCCTGTTCAATGGGGAATATGGACACCCCCGGCTCCGGATAGCTCCCTCCTGAGCACCAAATAGAAAACAAAAACACACCTGGTCAGCCTGGTCACCTAGCCCTTCCAATGGGTGTCCAATCGCGGGGCCCATAAGTCGTCCATTGGTGATTAATGCTTCAAACTGGTTTGGGAATGTTTGGGGTAGGTTTGGGAAACATGCGAGCCACTAACTATGCGAGCCTTAACCCACTTCGGTGTCCATTCTGGACATGGCAGTTGACCAATGGTCTCCACGTCCTGACTGGGCTGACCTCCAACTCGCCAAAACCAGCCAGTGCACCCACAAAAACCACAAACAAATGCTTAAATGAAAGTAAGAATAAGTTGGTAGCCAAAACCAATACAGTTCCCATCACCTCATCCTTGGCCACCAACCCTTTGCCCCCACCCAAAAACAAACATACGCACAACATCTTCACTTCTGAACCCCCGCCAATGGCCACCACCCTTGCCCCCACCACTGCTCCCTTCTCCCGGTGACTCAAACGGTCCGACCAACAAGGGGCCATACCAAGCCTTGATCTGTGGAATCGCATGCATGCGATCCATCCACCCGGTGATCGCCTCGGTGCGGTCGTCTCCACGCGGCAGTCGTCTCCACGCCGCGGTGTTCAGAGCGCGCTCGGACTGCGCGCGCTCGGACTGCGCGCGCCCTCGTAGATGCGTAGATGCCATGCGGTCCGATGGTCTCCCCGGAAGTCTTTTTCCAAAGGCTGCAAACATCTGCCAACCAAGATATGATATAGTCTCCTGCCCAAAATATGATTCTTTTAGACGTTTAAATGAATAAAAATAGTACAGTAACATATAGTAAACCATAGTAATAAAGCCTCTGAATATGTATTTTTCTTTTAGTTTAAGAGTCTATAAAATAATACCATGATATTGTCAGTTCCTCCAAGGACTTGGGACTTCTTGCGCCCACCCCCCAGGCTCTCGGGAGAAAACCAATGGTTTCTGGATTCTACGATCGAATCACACACACACACTCCATATGTATATCCATAGGACTCCCATGACAACAAAGGTTGAAGATTCCCATAGACTATCCCATTGGTACGATTGGTACCCCAGGTGACGACTCTATGTATATCCATGGGTCTGTCCATGTCATCCAGGGCCCAGTGGATGATGATGGTTCAGTGGCAGGCCTTGTTTCAAAATATGATGAGAAGTGTTTACTGACTGTTACAGGTATCAGTAAGTTAGGACAAACCCAATCTATAATCATGTATATAACATGTATACGTTACGGCATATTTAATCACTTGGGGTGGGTGAAAAAAGGCCAGTGTACGTCAAGATTCCAGTCCCCTGGAGTGGGACTGAGCATCGTGTCGAGTGCATCCCCCGTTTGCGACGCTCTTGGTTGAACTCCCGCCATGGCTTCTACTTGCAAGTTCTTTAGCTCTTCTTGCTCTGGATTTGATCAATGCGATGATGCAAACATCTCACCCAATTCTCCGGAAGGTGAACGGCCCCAAGTCGAAAGCGAACAAATCTGAAGGTGAACGCCGGACTAACCCGAAGCTGGCAACGTGGTATCAGATCAGATTCGTCCAAATCCAGGCACTCCTACTCTGTCATGGACAAGTAAACAAATTGAACATATGTATACCCTGGGAGTCCAAGACCATGTTTAAAACGGTCTTTAGGTGATCTGAAAAGGAACTTCCTTTGCTTGGGTGCTGCCAAAAATAGTCTTTGGCAATTTGGACTTCTAGGGTGTATATATACACACATTTATATACTGAACTGGTCATATCTGGTCATTATTAGTTCCATATGATCAGAACCCTATCAAACATAGGAATTATACAATGAAACAACTCCTGGTGGTCCCTGAGATTTAACATCCCTTGACGCTTGATATCTTCTGTAAACCCTCCTGATTCACCTCCCTTTGTTGCACCTTAGGATGCCCTATCAGGCCCCAAAAGGCGCTGCGCATCCACATTCTTCCAAGAGGCTGGGAACGGTTTCAGGCAATCGGCCGGTACGTGATCTGCCACGCCCTTCGTGAAGTACCTGAGCTGCGCCAAGATCTGCAGGTCGGCGATGGTCCTCACTGCGCGCGCCGGACCCAGAACCGAGGCGGGACTCGCTGGGCGTTCAGCGACGCAACGCACCCGGCGTTCACCAGTCACCAATGACCCACCACTGTCATTGGAATAGAAGGTCCTGACACCCAGAAATAAGCGCTCAATCAGATATTGATGCATTTAAGGCATATTTACATTTGATTGCAACACCTTTTCATTTGTGGGGCAGAGCCTACCATTAGTCTGAGATTGGCACTTTCCCAACTCCTGGATTGGGTCATCCTTGGAAGGATCCGCTCCGAGGAACAAGCGGCACCCAAGCAATCTCGTTAAAAGGTGGTGACAGCAGCAAAAGGGGTTGCTCTGACAAGCCTCAAACAAACAAGGAAAAGACAAACCATTCATATAGACCATTGAATTGTTGTGAGGGTTGGAACGGTGTTTTTTCCAACACCTATATATGTACCACCGTACTACTTCCACTGCCACTAAGTCTATCACTATAACACTAACACAACGACGACTGCCTACTGCTACTTGCACTTCTGCCAGTAGTATTGTGCTTGGGGGACTATCACTGTAGACTCTCCCCCAGTTGTTTGCTAGAGGGGGTGGCGAGTTGATGATTTCAAACCCAATAGTTATCAGTCCAACAGTTGAAAAGGAATTGTGTTTAGTCCCATCCAGCGGATGCACAGGGGCACCCTTATTCTCCAAGTTCGGCCATGGAACTCCTGTATGGCCTCCAGCTGGGAGAACCGTGTCTTCCAAAGCCGGCCAGCTGGGGCTCAGGATTTGGGACTTGGAGGTTTGGCCCTTAGAGTCTTCCGGCTGGACCTCGCACCCCCAGGGACCTCGAACACCACTGCCGAAGTCCATCTGTTGTAAAACCTGTCCCAAAGAGTTGTCGCTTCAAGGTCCATCTTTACGAGGACACCCGGACCGGGGGTTTCTAGTATGATAGCTACAGGTGATTCGGGGGTGTCCATTCACCACCACCCCGACTGTGGGTCCTGGTCTTGCTTCATCGATGCTTAATCTATGCCAGCCGGAACCGACGAAACCGCCGGAGCCGACGGAAGCGTTGGAACCGACGGAAGCGTTGGAACGCGTTGAGGACCTTCAGATCCGAAGCGGCGGCTGGTCTCCACAGAAGAAGGTCCCCGTCTTCTCCAGCTTCTTCGTGAAGAACTCCATGAACTTGGGTAAGGAGTCCTTGAGGAACTCCTCACGCAACCTTGGCACTGAAGAGTCGGTTCTTCAAGGAACGATCAGAAAATTCGCCACCTGTCGGAATCAGCATGGAAGTGGAACATGGCCCCTTGAATGAGCCTTCTTGATCCTTTTTGAGAAGACCCAACAGGTGGCTTTCAAAACGATGATTCCAAGGAGTTTATGAACCAAATCGTCACCGTCCCCAAAAATTCTAAGTGATGTCACCGACATCACCCGGGAGACAATCTTGCAGAGCCCCACCAAGCACCAGCTAGGAGGGGGTGTGAGGATATGCATTTCAATCACATGACACGTTCCGCCCCCGCAACTTGGGGTGTCGAATATTGTCGAATTATAGGCTCAGTGGACCCTCATAGCATCTCATAGCTAGGGTTTTGACCCTCACAGCCAGGGTGAACTGGACCTCAAACATGTGGCAGTTGCTTCGGGGCCGAACGGGTCGCCTGTGCTGAGAGGAATGACCTCCCTCGGGGCATCCCATCCATGGCCCTCTCGACGAGACGCCCCGATCACCTCCAGACCAAACCGGGCCACTTCTTCACCGTCGCATGCTTCTGAGGCCAGTCCTGCGCGCCGTTTCGCTGGTTTGGAGGAGCTTGACCCCAAAAAGAAACCACACCTGCCAAAAGAATGGTATGGTTTGACCAGGTTTGATTTGTTGTTTAGCTTCCTGCATGGCTATAGTGGCTATAGTGTTTAATTTGACCGACCCAATTTAACATATTTACTGCACTCCTCAAAGCAAAGGCACGGCTGGTGGCGGGGCTACGCTCGGCTGGATCTCTCCAAAGAATGGTTTGCTCCACCATCATTCAAGAGCGCCAGTCAACTGAGAACATCCTTCCGAAATGACTGATCTTCCAAGTTCCGCATCCCAGTCCTCAGGATAGCCATAGCTCGTGTGCCGCCCCATGCCCATGTACAAGGCCGGTGCCCAAGCCCTTGCCATATCCTCTGACAGGCCGATGAGCTCCTCAATCTCCAGCATGGCATCTGCATCTGCGGGGTAGAGGGTGTTGCTGGAGTCGAACTTCCTGGATCGCAAGCATTCCAGGATCCTCAGGAGGACCCCCCCTCCTTAGATTTGCCTCAGTGCAACTGATCCTTCCACAAAGATTCACCTCACCTGTAAGATTGAACCTTCTTGGGCCACATGCCTGGAGAAAACACTAAAATCACCACCAAACACGGTGAAAAACACAACTATAACTCACCTTCTTCCATCCGACCACGCGAACGAACCGCCCAGAAACCCGAGCCAAACACCCCTCCCTATCCTCCCTCCAACGCACCCCGCACCGGAACCGACCGACCCAACCAACACGGTGCGACCGACGCGTGTCCTGGCGACCCAGCGCATCATGGCGACGGACTGCGCGAACTTCGTCTCGGTGCCGTCGGGCTGGGTCAAGGTCATCATGGGCAGCTGGCCTCGTGAAGGGGCGGCAGCGAGGAAGGAGTGGGGGCTTGAAGAAGAGGGCGGAATTGGTGGGGGAAGTGGGATGGACAAAGCATGGAAAAAGCAACACATCGTCCCCAGAAAAAAGGGATTCACCCACAAGGGAGAAAAAAAAAACACCGGATGAGCAAAAGAAAAGAAAGTGGAACAAACATGAACAAACACCATGAACATCACCTGAAATGTTCCAACAAAAACTACGTACCTACCAGGACACCCGGACCGGGGGTTTCTAGTATGATAGCTCCGAAAACAGGTGATTCGGGGGTGTCCAGCAACACCACCCCGACAGTGGGTCCATATAGATCCAGTTCCATGTCGGGTCTTTGGAGTCTCGAGGGCCCGGGAGCGCTTTTTTGGAACACCCTGGTCAAGGCGGTGGAGCCGCCAAGACCCGAATTACGAGGAGAGATGGAGGACCTCTTCATGTGGTGTGGAGCGTAGGACAGCCTGCCCAAGCACCCAAGCACATGGAGGCCTGCCCATCTTGGTGGAGCAGTTTAGAGAAGCCGACATGTTGAATGAACGAAATTCAGGTGGAGGCCGTCATCCAAAATTCAGGTGAGAAGCCAACATGTTGAAGCCAAGGGGGCCTCCCTATTAGTTGGGTGTTTATTGAGGCCCATGGAGGCCCTCAACCAATGGCTTTTGATGTTTCCGAGTTGAAGTTCCTTCTTCCCCCTGGGAATCGGAAGGGCTGTGACTGGGAGGTTGCCCCTATGATAATAACACACACCCAGGGGATGATCTGCAACCCTGGCCCCAGGATTCTCTTGCCTAGTATCATGTCTGAGTCGCAGCCCGGTTCCGGGCTTGAACAAGGAAGGCTGTAGCACAATGTCCCTCTGAAAGCTTGGGAAAGACATGATAATTAGGACAAAACACCTGCCATCAAAGCAACAACTTGGATTGGAGCCAAGCAAACGACATGGGTGCTCTGTGACTTACTCTGTGGTTTCAATCCATTCGAAGCTTGCTACGAAGAGTGATTCCGTGCCCTTCCTTCCGCAGTCATTCAACCCCCCAGCAGGGAGCATCTGGGTCTAGAAAAAACGAGGGATCCGGACCACAGCTACTGGTCTCTCTCACCGGACGGGGTTTTAAGGGCACCACTCGTCACTAGCCTCCTATCCACGACTCTCTCTATTATATTTAAAGTGCTTGCTGCTTGCAAGCTTAAGCATCTAAGCCAATCTAAGCAAACTAACCTGTTAAGCAACAGCAACATCAGAAAATAACTGCAAGTGTGGACATGTTTCTCCTACATTGCTGATGCCATCCGTGCGCTGGATATAGTATGGGCATCTATCTACAAGCAACGTTGACTCATAAATCACCCGAACAGCAAACACACAGTTCAGTTACAAACCAGATTGCGCACGCATATGAGCGCTGTCAAGCAAAGGACATGATTCAGCGAGGTTATCGCTTTTGAGGGGTGCTTATCGCTTTTGCAGGTTTTAGCCACAATGTATAGCTGAACATATCCATTGTGCGTGTGTTTTTTCTCCCTCCCTCCCTCCCTCCCTCCCTCTCCCTTCCCTCCCTCCATCACCCTCTGCAAGAGTCCCTCCTGCGGTCCGTCCCGTCACTGGCCCAAGCGACCATGGGGCGTGGTGGGCTTCAAGGTGGCCCAGTCCTTGAACTCAATGCGCTTGTCCTCGAAGTCGGTGCCGGTCATCACCAGAGTCAAGCGCACCTTCTCAGCCGCCGCTTCGATGTTGAAGTAAGTCCTTAGGGGTCTCTCTCTCTCTCTCTCAGGGCACCTCTCAACATGCGGAGAAAGAGTGAGTGGACATCTGGCCGAATTGGTGTGGAAGTCTTCTCAATCCATATAACCATACCACATGTTCATGTTGGTCTGTTCGTATCATGAAGGAGTGAACCTGCCGGGGGTGTTTGGGGGTGTTGGGCCAACTATACAAAGAAGATGTAGAGGACTATCCAACACCGCCCCAGTCCAACACCCCCGTCCAATCCGAAGCTTGCCCTAGAAAAAGGTTCTGTGATCCTGCAAGGGACCTCGGCCTCAAAGATGCAGAACCACTCACTGGATGGGACGAAAAAACACCCTGGTCTTCATGTGACCCCCGTTCCGTCCATTCCCAAACGACAGCAAAACATGTCACACGGAAAGCACGGAGAGTTTGGTAATTTTTTGTGCACCCTGGTCGGTTTCGGATGTTACATGCACCTGGCCGTGTTTGGGGATCACAACGCAGAGGCATTTGATAAGGAAGAATTACGGAATGGGGTTGCTGGTGTGTTATAGACCCCAAACGTGCAAACATGCCCTCTGTTTGAGTCTATTTGTGGGCAGCTTGGGGAATGAATCGAACCATGTATTCAAGAAGGCAGTGGATGACCCTTCAAAAACAGCTCCCTACGGATGAGTAGCGGTAGTTGATTTGTAAAGTTTGCTTCGGATGCAGGTGGAAGGAAAACCCTCTTTCTTGCCAGGAACGCCTTCCATATTCCCAAATTCCCAAGCTCATCCCAAGCTCTATATATCAATCATTCTGAGTCTGAGGGTCAATGTAATTTTGGGCGTCGAGCCTGAGTTCCCCATGGCAATCGGTCTGGCAATGGTCACGGGCAAAAGATCGGCTGATGAAGCGATGGTCTTGAGCCCAGTTGGGGTGAAGCCGTTAAAGACCCGCACGACGGACGAAAGGACGTTGCCAGCTTTTTTGCAGCTGGTGCGTCTTGCGACGGCCTCCGGAATGGTCTTTCTTTGGGCCCCTCAAAGGGTAAGGGGTGTTCGATGGTGTTCGATCACCACCCCTTGAGAGTCCTAATAGATCGCAAAGCATAGCACCTCATGGACCAACCCTTACCCGGTCCTTTCTCGTAGACTGTTCATACTGTCTTTTGTGGCTCTCAACGAAGGGGAGCGACGCCATTCGTCCCAGTTTTCAGGAGTTCCAAGCTGGTTGGTGGCCTCAACTCACGAAGGAACCATGTGAGTTGAGTCAGGGCGATCGATCATCTCAAAGTAAAGGTTGAAACGCACAAAGCATCTGAAACCACCACCCACCACCCAGCAAGTTTCGAACAATTATTCACGTATTGACTCAAATTCCAAGTGACTACCAAGTGGGAATTCCAAGCGGCGCTACTAGCTTCTTGTTGCTTGTAGCGATGGCCTCCAACCTAATAGCGATGTCCTAAACTAGGACCTCCCTGAACCCACGGAAATCCCACGGAACTTCGCCCGATCTTCCGCTTCGGCCTGAGGTCCCTGCCAAGCGTGCCAAGGCTGCCAGGGCACTGCAGCTTTGGCCTCGCGCGGTGCAGAGATCGCGGCTCCATCCGGTTCAAACACTTCGAGCAGCTGCAAGCCATTCCAAACAGGAGTCTCGGATTCGCATAAGGAGCAAAAATAACTACCCAAAGGAAACACATTCAAGAAAACACACATCCCTTAACCAGGTTAAATAGACCTGAGCGGCCCATGCGAGCAACCCAATGACACGCCACGAGGCCCATGCGTGTAGCGCGCCATGGCAACCCCCGCGGTCACGAAACCGCGGTGCACACGAAGCCTGCTGTGAAGCGCCCCGCTCTCGCGAGGCCCACACACGCCGTCGCCGCGGCATCCAGGGCGCCCGCTTCATCGAGCCTCGGCGGAGCGAGCATATCCAAGGGGGTGAACGGTGAAGGTTGGATGATAACTTGGGAGTCAAAAACGACCGAAAATGATTGTCTTTCACTAGGGTTCCTGGCCCATATCCTCAGGTTCGGTGGTTAGACTGTTAGACCCCCCTGGCACCCACCCACCCCAACCACCGAACCTCAGGAGGTAGTTGGAGCCCTAGGGCTTTGAAAATCCGCCAAGGGAAATGTCCTTTACTTCACTGTAAGGACAAGTATGGTCAAACTGGAATTCTAGCGAATACGCTGTCCTCCCAACATGCAAATCACCTGCAGGTTGCCAGGTGAATTGGTCGGGGCCCGGCTTGATTGAGCGCTGCGAGGAAGTGTGGGGGAGGATGAAATACAGTATCTGTATATTCTGCAAATGGCACGACGCCCTGCCATTCTGCAAATGGTTCTTTTCCTTCTTGTCCGACTTTCTTGGGCCTGCAAACCTCACATGTCCAAACCAGTTGCACTGGTATTACTCCGACTTGCTTACGGAACTGGGAAAAGCGTCTTCCCCTGCCAGCAAGATTCACCCACGGGGAAAACAACAACCTCTGTGGGTCAAAACCAGGATACCTCGGTTTTTTTCCTTACCAGGGAGGTCGTCTGCTACTTCATGGAACAGGGCTCCAGGTTTTGACCCACATCAAACCCGGCATGACAGCTCAGCCCTGTACATTTCTTCCACTCCATGCTTCTTGGCCTGTGCCAATGCCCAGACTGTGGCCACCTGTCTGAATGGTGACTTGCACGTGACCGCACCGGCATGAACCACATTCAGTGAGGATGGTAGTAGTGACTCACCAAGGAGAGAGACGATTCAAACTTGCCAGTGCCCGTGGTTTTTTTCTCCACCTGTCTTGGGATTCTCCATGTATATAGCAACAAGATGCAACAAGGATTTCCACAATTGTTACTGCACTGTACTTTATAATGCAGTTGTTGTTGAATCTTTAACCTCCCCACTGGCTGGCACTCAACGATGAATGCTTGCTCCAAAGCTCATACATTTGTTTCTGCGCAAGTTGACTGTGAACCACTGCGAGCTCGTCGCCTGAGGCACTCACCACCTCATCAGCAGAGAGCCTGGAACGTTCAAAGGTTCAACTGACCAGCATCCAGGTGTGAATTGTGAGGTGTGAACATCCCCGCTAAGGACCCACAGTGATGGATTTTGTCCATCATGACATGACTTATACTCTGCACTTCTTACTTACAGTAGGCTTGGATTTGCAGGAACTGGAAACAAATCAACATCTCCGGGAAGGGATTCACCCATAGGCACTTCTATGCGAAAGCAACACTCACCCTAAGCAAAACCAGTGGGTCTCTCTGACTCTCTGACAGTCAAGCTACCTGCCACTGTGGGCAACCTGGTGCAGCTGTTCCAGCCAACCACCGGCACATCCGCAACGCATGGTGCCCAACAGGTCTGACGGACCTCATTTCACTGGGTCTGGAAAAAAACAACACCGTGCTCAATGTGTCTCCCGCTGAACTCGTCTCCCACGGTCAGAGCGAGCTGCGTTGCGGCCTGCCGGCCTGCTCCAAGCATCTCGGCCGGCTCCGGTCGTGCGCCTGGGGCGAACTTCGTCGAGAGGTGCGTGTTCAAAGCGCCGATGCTCGCTGGGTCGGTCCAAGCTTGGAGATTGAAAAAGATCAACATGATCAACACAAATCAACAAACTCAATTGGCAGCTCAAACATGATCAAACATGTATGACCAGGCGTCACAAAGGGGTGGTGTTTGGTCCCTAAGTGAGTGGATAATGGGCACCCCTAACCTCCAATAGGGGTGGCGTTGGTGAACTTCTTCTCTCTTCCAGACTCGATGCCGCTTCCCATGCCCCATGACTAGCGCGCGGGCTGCAAGCAAGCACGGTAGGCCCAGCTGGAGCTGTCCATCTGCCCGAGCCTGAGCTGCACCCATGAAGCTTCTCTGCTGCTTTCGTTCGACCCCCTAAATCGTTGGTTTAAGTCGTCTCATCTCTCGTCAAACCCACAGGCAGTGTGTCGAGTCTGTGGGGATGAGCCCGTGAAACCACTTCGAATTTCCCCAGCCGCCTGGCCCAGGCCGCGGCCAGCGTCGCCAACTCCGCCGGGCGAAAGTGCTCGGCCTGGCCGAAGGTGGCTCAGGTGGCTCGGATTCCGGCGCGACTCTCACGGTGGTGTCACAACAGATCTTTCAGCTACCAAGCTGGGAGGACCTGGTTGGACCTCTCTCTTCACGAAGCTGGAAAAAGAAGGCATTGCTTAAAGCTCTTGAGGTGGCCAAAGACTCAACGTGACCATCCAAAAAGACAATAGTTACTCTTGCCTCGCACGAATTCAAACTGAGTTGGAAGCAGAGTGAGTCGAGTGTGCATCATGTGAATCCGATGTTGCTTGGGCATGGCATGGTGGATCCATGTGTCAATTGGCACCACGCTTGCTGAAGATCCACAGGGCACGCTTCCTTCGCGCATGCATTCCAGTGATGACCGGAAGGCCATTAACTTCGAACATCTTCGAACCCCCTTCTGTCCCACTCCATCTGACCCCGTCCTTGAGTTGAGCTGATCTTGCTAGGGCTCCTGCAAATGATCCAGCAAGATTGTGTGTGTGTGAGAGACAGAACCATGACGTTTAGAACCATGGGATGCTCAAACCGCATTCGTTCAAGGCACCGGGCCCTGTGTTGAGCGCTGCCGGAGAAGCCACTCAAGCTGACGTCCCATGATTTTGTGCCACCACCGGTCACCGTGATGCTTCCAGGCAGTTGTGCCAAAGCCTTGAACTTGATGAACGACACGTCGGAACGACATGCCACCCAGGGGAAAATCTGCAAGGCCGGCTTGGGAGATTCAACAACCCACTGGCAAAAAACGACCATCTTTCAAGATCAGTTCAAACACAAGGTCGTAGGCTGCAAACACACACTCCAGTTCCATGCGAGTTTTCCGCCCCATACGTGCCGCAGAAAAGCTGGCTCTGCTCCTGTGAGCGTTCTCTCTGACCAGCTGGCACCTGTGAGCGAGATCATCATGGGGCCCCAAACCAACATGTCGAAACGCGACACAGGGTCAAATAGAATAGGGGCCCTTAAGGGGTGGTTAATGGACATCCCTTAACCTCTAAGGGGCTACCAGGATTTTTAGACACCCCGAAACCAAGGGCCCTGGGGGATGCAGAGCCAAATCCAAATGAAGTCTACAAGCCATCCTTTGTCAGTTTGTGTTTTCTTCGATTGGTGAGTGTTTTCCATCTGGGTCCCAAAAGCTAAACTTTGAATGTCTTGACAAACTTAATCTGAGCTCTTCAAGAAGGCTCATTGTTGCACGAGGAACCACATCATCCCAAAAACCTTTGCTGGTGCAACTTTACATCACCTCATTTCGTCTTGCATTGTCCTATGTCCTATGTAGTGGGCAACCTCTTCCTATGTAGTGGGCAACCTCTACATATATGTACAAGGGTGAGCAAGAACGATCACCTTGCTTTGGGACCACCAGTTGTATGCTGGGCTCGGCAGCACTGCACAGCTCGGCTTCATGTACGTGTGAAAATGGCCCGAAGGCGCGCATCCTTCATCCTCCTTCCTCCTCCTCACCACCACGGGCACCGAACCGGATGCCGGGCGTCCCGTTTGGGCTCCGGCGGCGGCGACACGGCGGCGGCGGAGCAGCGGTGCCGACACCTGCGAAGGCCCAAAGCACGCCCGTCAGCTCCTTCGCTCGGAACCTGCATGAGCCGAGCGAAGCGCGTTGGAGCAAGTTCCGACGGGTCAGAGCAACTGAGCGGGGCAAACGCAAAATACACTTAAACGAACATGTTATTTTTTTGTGTACTGTTTTGGCTAAAACAGCAGCTCTGTGGCTAATGCATATCTTGGCATCATCTCATATGGACATCTTAGCATCCACCGCTTGATTAAGGGTCCTCACCCTGCTCCTGCAATAGGTTGCCACATGAAACAAACCCAGAACCAGGACCCCAACTCATTGGCCATCTCCACAGCTTTGGCAGTGAGGCCACCCACCTGCACACGACGACAACTACAAGAACACATCTCTATATGCGGTCAATGCACGACAGGTCCATTCAAAACGATTCTGGTACAAAAATGTATGTCGGTGTATCCCGCAACAGTGGATGGTGAGAAAAGACTTCCCTCAAAAACGGTGATACTCTTTTACGGATGTTTGCCGGTCGTGGGGCACCCAAGACGAAGGGGATGTCTCAAGCTGGGAGCCGAGCTGGGCATCCACCCGGAACTCAGGAACACGTCGGTGGCTTCAACGAGCGAGCAAGATAGGTCGGAGGCTTAGTCATCCCAAGTAAAGAATCACACACTCTGACTTGTATTTTGCCAACTATGGCATCTGTAATTGCACCCTAGCGATCCACATACCTTCTCAGAAGGTGCCAGGGCCCTCCCAGCACACAAATGAAAATGCATCACCTTCTGAGAATGTGTGCGGGTCCCCAACAAAAACCCATATGGAAACCCTCGTCTGATTCTCAGGGCGGCCCTCTTCATTCAGACTTGCTCTGACACGGCATCACCGAGGACACGGACGGACTCGGGGCTTTGCTGAGCTACCTTGGTCGGCGCACGCGGCTCAGCCGACGCACGCGGTGGAAGCAAATCCATGCATAGGGGTGGGGGAAGCCGGACCTTGTCATGATCCAAACAGTGAAGGTTTGGTTTTCCGATGCCATGCGAATCTATGCGACGTCTGGCTTAAGTAGTGATGCTCTTGTTCACCGACTGTTACAGGTAGTAGGACGGACCCAATGCGCACGCCACTTGAGTCGCAGTTGGTCTCGAGAAGCTCTAAGTAGGCAAGCAACGACAAGGTCAGCTTTGCAGAGGAAAACCGCCCCAACAAAAACAAAAGAAACATCCGTGCAGCAATCATTCAAGTGGACAACGGAAAAGATCAATTCTGAGGGGCCACGCCGTGCACTTTCATGACTCTGGCCGAGTTACAAAGACTCGTTGGGTCGTTGGGTCGAGCGTTTACTTCAGGATTGAAGTCAGACTTGGGCGGCCTGAAACAACAAAGTGGCGTTGACGCTGCAGGGGGGCAAAAAATATCGACCTGACTTATGGTAATTAATTCCGCATAAGAAGGGGCGTGTTTGTCATGCTCTGAGGGCCTTTTTTGGGCCTGTGGGCTCGGCGCGCATACGCAGCGCGGAAACGTGGGGTCTGTGCTTGCCTCTGCTGGCTTGAGGCGGGAGAGTCCAGATGCCTGGGTGAAGTTTGGCGACCGGCCTAGTTCGTCTAAGCCGTCAGTCTTTCCCAGTCGTGGCTGGCAGGCTTCAGCTGCGCTGAGGGCAATGGAGATTGAGCGCCGAGCTAGGCAAGGAGTGGCTGGCCAACGCTTAGGTCCTTCATGTGGGTTTTGCCATAGTTTTCCTTTGCGCCTTTGGTCTCGTGGTCTGATCCGCCCTTCGGGTGCGAGGGGTCTTGGGCTCAATTCCGACCAGCTTCGCCCCCAAGGCTCGGCTCCGACCTGTCGTCAAGCTAGCGTCGCAAGCGGGCCTGGGTGGTGAAGTGACACTGGCAAGGTTGTTTGTGACTGGAGCAAGGATGGTCCTTTTTCTCGGTGTGAGCGTGCCCGGCGAGACATCTACGCGGGAGCAAGCCGAGCATCCCCAGCGCTGGCCAGCTCGCAGCAAAACGAGCAAAGCAGCTCAGGTGGGACTTCTGGTCGCGTGTCACATGTCTTGAGGCCTGTCATGTGGTGTAGTGTCTTAACAGATCTTAATTTCATTTAATTTCCACTGCTCAGGGCTTGTGCTTAGGCTGCAAAGCCCAGCGCATAATTGGTAGTCCCAAGCAAGGTTATCGGTGAGGCTCACCCTGGTCCCTTTGGCACCTCGAGTTCTACAGCCTAAGGCCACAGGCCTGGTTGAAGGCAAAAGGACCGGCAGGAGCCCAGGAACAGGACAAAGGAACGAAATGAACAGGAAATCACCACCGCTCATTCAGACACTTATATAGGTGGAATTTACCAGTGACGTCGGGTGACGTCGTTCTAATTCAGGCCGATTGATTGGAGGGGGGTACACACCGTTTTTCTATGACACTGACCGTGTGGACCTTGGCCGGCCAAGGCTCTGGCAGCGAAGGACCAAAGCAAGTTGGCCACGTGTTGAGTGCCTGGGGTCGGTGGAGGGCCTGGGGTCGGTGACTTCTTGATGTTCATATCCAGTCCTCCCTTACTGTCCTGGAACGACGGTGGCTTTGGACATGCAAAGCCGCCTTCCAAAACCATGTTGGACACTCTTAAGTATAACAGCTCGGTTGTTTCGGAGAGAACCATTATATAAATCAATGGTGGTTCAAATCCTAGCGCTTCTACTCTACAAATCAGAGGTCTCGCGGTTCTGCCTTTTTCGTCCTCAAAAGGCAGGCGATGAATTGAGATGAAAAGCCCCCTCAGTGGCGATGGGACACTAGAAACCCCATCAAGAAGCAGCACATGTGGCAGTTCAAGGATCTTTGCACTTCTATATGCTTCTATGTTGGCTCAAGCAAGACTGCGGGAGCATGGACATGCCAAAGTTTTAGTCACAAATCGGGCCGGAGCGGGCAGCCAGGCAGCCTCAGGGCATGTCTTCATCCTTTTTCAGTCCACGGCTTTAGGTCTTTCCATCCATCTTTCTGGGCAGCACAATGTCTGTGTGCCGCAAGGATCGCAAAAACGAGTGCCACGGCTTTGCAGTGGTCCACATGAAATATCACATTTCAGCCAGCTCAAATGCCGAGGGTTGGGCCCTTCTTGAACCTTGGAGACGCACGGGGCGGCGGTTTTCCCCCTACAAATGCTTTCTTGCTGCATGACTCGGTTTGGCAGCATGTGTCTGGCATATCACAGGCTTTGCCCAAACAAATATTCTCCTTGGTCTCTCTTCCAAGGAGCCACCCCAAAAAAACAACAAACAACAAAGAAAACACAAAAAACACAAACAAAGAAACACAACAAACACATCAACACAGACATACACATACACCGTTTGGCCATTACCCTGGAAAATGACCTTCACAACGAAATCTTTCATCTCTTCTGCAAGTTCCAATAACTAATCCGTGTCAAGCTGTTCATGACCAACATGTATACGCTGCAGGCTCCCTCAAAACTCTTGGCTTGAATCCCAAATGCCATTTGTGGGAAAGCTTTCATAACTCAAAGCGCCCCCTGTGATTTATATAGGTCAAGAGCATTGAAGGTTTCAATACCCTCCTTGAAAGAATCGTGGACAAGGGGTTCTTCACCACCGAAAAGAGTCTTCCGAACTGGGGGCCATGCCATCCACTTCGACGAATTTCGTGCGTTTCTGCCCAAGAAACTGCAACCAGGCAGAGACCAACAGCCCGAAGACTGTGATGGGCACAGTGCCCAAGACAATGCCCAGCATCACGGTCTCCAAAGGGGCCGACAGGTTCCTGAAAAACGAGCCGACAGGTTCCGGACGAGCCCCTAGGGCTCCAGCTGCCTCCTCAGAATGTATATATTTCTGTTATATGTCCTCTCTCTCTCTCTCTGTCGTGTCGTGGAAAGTCATGCACAGTAGTCAAGCGAACAAACATAGCCTCCAGCCGGAGTTCGTCTAGAATCTATAGACTTGAGGCCAGGGGGAGAGGTCGAAAGCTAGCCGAATCGCACCGGATGTACTAGTTACATAGTCGGCAAAGCATGTAGGGATTACATGTTTTGGGAGGAAGGTTGCTATGTACATACTTTGCGCTAAAGAATGTAAATGTGACATCGCTGACTGGGAAGGGTACATTGGAACAACCCGGGTGCACTCGTTGGCAGGCACGAAGATGCGTGATCGGCAAATCTGGGGGGTAAATTTACCCTCCGCTTTTGTATGCCTTGAGTCGGAAAGATGGGTAAGCATTTCTGACATCATACGGACTGTACATACACTAGGGCGTCCGTAGTGTAGGAGAAGCACGGGTAAAAGGTATATGGAATAGAGTGTCTTGAGGAAATAGCCGGTGTATGGTTATTGCAAATCTGGGGGGTAAATTTACCCCCCGCTTATGTATGCCTTGTGCTGGAAAGAGGGGTAGGCATTTCTGGCATCACAAGGACTGTGCATACACTAGGGCGTCCGTAGTGTAGGATAAGCACTGGTAAAAGGTATAAGGAGTAGAGTGTTTTGAGGAAATAGCCGGCTTATGGTTATGGCAAATCTGGGGGGTAAATTTACCCCCCGCTTATGTATGCCTTGAGCCGGAACGAGGGGTAAGCATCACAAGGACTGTGCATACACTAGGGCGTCCGTAGTGTAGGATAAGCACTGGTAAAAGGTATCAAGAATAGAGTGTCTTGAGGAAATAGCCGGTGTATGGTTATAGCAAGCCTGGGGGGTAAATTTACCACCCGCTTATGCATGCATTAGGTTAGAAATAGGGGTAAACAACTTGTAACGGTGAAGTACAAGTCCTATGCAGCAAGCAGCAGCCAGCAGCAGCAGCAGCAGCAGCCGCCTGCAGCCAGCAGCCAGCAGCAACCACCAACCAGCAGCCAGCCAGCAGCACCACGCAGCAGCAGCGCAGCATCAAGCCGCAGCAGCAGCAGCACCACCGGCAGCAAGCAGCAGCAGCAAGCAGCAAGCAGCAGTAGCAGCGGCGTCGTCAGCCGCAACAAGTAGCAAAGCAGCAGCTACAAAAGCGGCAACCAGCGGCAGCAGCAAACAGCAGCAGCAAGCAGCAGAGCGGCAGCAGCAGCAGCACCCTTTCCACCAAGCCACCGTTTACACCCAACCAACCACGTTCAACCAACC